AATAAAATAAAAGAAGAGGATTTGGGTGCTTTCCCCGGGAACATCCAAACGCTGCAGGGCTGGGAACGCGTGCGTGCCTGTTTACGTTGCACTCCCTCGCCCTCGTGTTTAACTGCTCAAATTAAATTTCACACCAGTCTGCCCAGAGCATCGGCACACGCGCCAGAAACCCATGCCTGGGATAAAATTAAAATCTGTGCTATTTATGCAAGGATCAAATATAGCGCGCGTTTCACGCTGTCTGGATTTCAGAAGGCTGTCTGTAGGTTTACAAATGGACGCACACAACATATACTTACGTTATTTAGAAACAGCGACGTATTATTAAGTCAAGAAAGCGTGATTTATCCTCAGAGCCACTGAGCAGCGAGGTTCCCCGAGCGAGCGTCAGTATCTGGTGCGCTGGCGGGACGCATGGGGGAGCCCTCCCTTTGCTGTTGGGGTGTGTTGGGCGCCTGGGGAGAGTCCCCCCACCCTGTGCGGTGCTTGAGTCTCAACCGTCACATCCTCACTGCAGGGCAAGCACTGCCTTGGGAGCCGTGAGTGCAGCGACTAATTGGCCAGCAAAGGAGCTGGGCAGGGGGAGCTGGGAGGGGGGCCTGCAACTCCCTGGAGCTCTATGCACGTGTCGTTTTCCCGAAGCAAAGAGTCAGCCGCTCATTTAGAAATGTACGTGTTTATAAACCGAAGGGCGGCAGACAGCTAAGAAACACATGATCACCATGCAATCCACACATTTTCCTAGAAGGGCAAATGTTTACCAGCCTTCCAACCATTCAGCTCCACGGTTTGGTGTAAAAGAAGGGGGAAACGCTTTGGCGTAAACCAGGAGCCTTACGAGAGCCCATCCGACGATGCGTGGCTCCTCTAACGAGCTTCTCACGAGTAACAGGCCTGACATGTTGGGGCCGGTAATTCCTCGTCGTAGGGGCCGTCCCGTGCATCGCAAGATGGTGATCGGCATGCCCGGCCCTGACTCACCAGACGCCAGCAGCATCCCCTCCTCCCCACGTGTGACAACCCAGAGCGCTCCCCAAGAAGGCAAGTGGACCCTGGTTGAGAACCACTGCTCTGGGCACCAGGCCAAGCACTAACGCCAGCTGCTCTGGGTCCGATGTGAGTGGCCACGTACCGTGAGCAAGCTGGTGCCCACAGCAGGAGACGGGGTGCAGCTGAACCAGGGGGACCAGCACACGGAGGGCATGCTTCCACTCGGGGTCACAGGCAGTGCTGACGAGGGTTTTTCTGGCACCTTCCTCAAGACTGCATCCCCCTTGCTCTCTCTGCGTTCGTTCCTGACTTATATTCTGCCATTTCTTTCACTTCATCCGTGGGCTCTGGCCTGTGCCGTGGGCCATGGCCTGTCGACCTCAGTGGACGGTTAAGTTTTCCACAGAACCATGTCCAACACCTTGAAGATGTCGCCCAGGCCCCATCCAGGCTCCACTTCTCCCCGTAAAGCATCAGTCCTTTCCAGCTCGTTTTTATGGGTCTCCGTTTGAATCCCTCTACCACTCCGGTTCGTTTTCTTCGCAGCGTCTAGTCTCGCTCTGTGTGCCTAAGTGGATTTTACACAGTCCTGAGCACCCGGAACAACGCCGTGGAGTTTAAGTGTGAGCAAGCTGGTGCCCACAGCAGGAGACGGGGTGCAGCTGAACCAGGGGGACCAGCACACGGAGGGCATGCTTCCACTCGGGGTCACAGGCAGTGCTGACGCGGGCTTTTCTGGCACCTTCCTCGAGACTGCATCCCCCTTGCTCTCTCTGCGTTCCTGACTTATATTCTGCCATTTCTTCCACTTCATCCGTGGGCTCTGGCCTGTGCCGTGGGCCCTGGCCTGTCAACCTCAGTGGACGGTTAAGTTTTCCACAGAACCATGTCCAACACCTTGAAGATGTCGCCCAGGCCCCATCCAGGCTCCACTTCTCCTTGTAAAGCATCAGTCCTTTCCAGCTCGTTTTTATGGGTCTCTGTTTGAATCCCTCTACCACTCCGGTTCATTTTCTTTGCAGCGTCTAGTCTCGCTCTGTGTGCCTAAGTGGATTTTACACAGTCCTGAGCACCCGGAACAACGCCGTGGAGTTTAAGTAACGGTGATTTAGGCGAACGACCGCTACGATTTATGAAGTGCTCCCGCGTTCCGAGTTCGGTTAGGCACTCTACCCGACAGCGACTGCTCATTGTCCTAACACTCTGCGGAGCCCGTGTTATTATCTTCGGTGTGTGGACGGGGAACCTGAGAACCGACCTGTCCGCTACCCCCTCCAAGTCCCTCCCCTGGTTCAGTCCAAGTTGTGACCCGGGAGCCCAGGCCTCCTGACCTTGGCCAGTGCCCTCCTCCTTCACCCGCAAGCACAGGGAACATCCCATCCGCATGCAGCCAACTTACAAGCCTCTCATTCCTAATCGTGTAAAAAGGCAAACGCCGTCAACGTCTAAGGCAGCCACTTCTACCTGAATTTCTTTCAAACATCCTCTGGATTTGTTAGAAGGTAATTTTCCTGCTTACTTATCCTGGGAAAGGTAGGGCTTCCCACTCCCAAACTGTGACGTGACCAACCACGTCCGTCCAAGGCTCTTCGTTATATGGATTTTCACTAGCACTACTTTTAGAAAACTGTTAGCTTTTTCTTTCGAAAAAATGTAGCTAACATGACCAAGATTAAAAAGCACAAACAGGAGAGATTTTGAAAGGCGGGCAACGAGCGACGGTGTTTTCTGAATGAGGTTATTCATTACTGAGGCGAGTGGAGGACATAGTTAGAGGCGGGGCTGTTTCTAGGTGTGGACTGAGCCCGTCTTGGCTGCAGAAGCTCGGTGCTCGGGTTTTTTTTTTCTGTGGGGGCAGCGACAACTGTGGGCCTTTCTTGACTTCACACCTCTCCAAATTACCCTGGGTCTCCCCGCCCTGGTCAGGGTGTGTTCAGGAGGCAACCAATGCATGTGTCTCTCTCACACTGATGTTTCTCTCTCTCTCAAAGTCTCTTTAAAAGATCACCCCCTGCACTGGCCAGCGTGGCTCAGTAGTTAGAGTACAGGTCTAGGTCCACAGACCAAAGGGTTTCGAGTTTGATTCCCGGTCAAGGGCACGTACCTGGGTGGCAGGTTTGATCCCCGCCCTGGTCAGGGTGTGTTCAGGAGGTAACCAATGCATGTGTCTCTCTCACATTGATGTTTCTCTCTCTCTCTCTCTCTCTCCCCTCCCTCCCTCCCTCCCTCCCTTTCTCCTTCCCTAACAATTTCTCTCTAAAAAAGCAATAGAAAAATATCAGGTGAGGATTAACAACAACATCATCATCCCCTAACATAACCATATCAAGACACATAAACATAAGCACAATAACTACTGGTGAGACGTTATTAAGTTTCGATGTGAGCCAGGTCACCACCCTCAAGCCAGAGAGAGCTGGAGACCGCACCTCTAATTTGAACAGGCAAACACATTTGATGGGGATGGAAGGGAACATGTAATTTCGCTGAATAAGATGAAAGACTGGCCATCTCACTGTACATTTTTTTTTTCTCAAGAAAAATGACACTGATCAGATAAATTAGGGGAGATCAGTTCTGGTCCAAAGAGACAGCCACCTACAAGCTTCGGTTAAATTCATTATCTGTCTAGGTACTGGGGTTACAGGCTGGGAAACAAAACTTTATGCTCACATGCCAACTGGAGAGCAGTGTCGGCAAATCACACAGCTCCATAATTATAATGCAAATATTTGGCCAAAAAAACAACAACACACCCCTGTGTTTCATCCCATAATCCAATCTGTCCACTGCAGGTGCCCAAGGTACATACAGGCGGAGCTACGCCTGAGGCATCCTGCTCCCAATGACCATAAATTCAATGGACATAGACTCATGAAACTATCCCTTTGTTCATCGTCGCTCCTTCCATGGAAGTTCAAGTTCCCTCAGTGCACAGGCCTTGCCTGACTCGCCATGGCTGTATCCCAAGAGCTTAACACAAGGCTAGCACCCTATGAGCGTTCAGTAAACAGCGCAAAGGGACCCACACAGGGAAGAAGGCCTGTGCAGACGGAGGTGGAGACTGGCATGATGCAGCCAGAGGCAGGGGATGCCAGGAGCCACCAGAAGCCAGAGCCAAGGAAGGGATCCTTTAGAGCAGCGGTCGCCAACCTTACGGACCTCAAGGATCACCAGTGGTCTGCGGACCACCGGCTGGCGACCGCTGCTTTAGCCTGCAGGGAGAGCACAGCCCTGGGAAACCTCCATTTCAGACTTCCAGGCTCCAGAATGGTGAGAGAAACTTGTTGTTGCTTTAAGTTGCCACGGAAAGGAACAGACCTCACCTGAAGTCTGCACTACCTCCTGAAGTGTTATCATGGCTGTTTGAAAGCCACCCGCTCCACCTTTCGGGACCCTGAACAGAAGCCCATTGGCCACTGTGAATCTCCGAAGACACCTGTCGCTCCCTGTCTTATCCTTACCCACGCACGCCTCACCTCCTCGAGGAAGGCAGGCGCTGGGTCTTACAGACCCCATCATACCCAGCAAAGAGCCCAGCACAGCGGGGCGTGTAACCAGCAAATAAGGAACGCCTGCCGGATGCACGAGTGAGCAGTACGCTCTCTCCTGCCACAGCCAACACAAACCAGGAGCATTTCTCATTCAGGTTTCCCAGGAGCAAAACAGATTCTCTCTTCCTTTCCTCCCTATTTAAACTCACCCATTTGTCTGGGCGAAAAGCTAAGGGAAGTTTGATTCTGGGAGCAGTCGCTCTGTCTCAGGACCAGCTCAGCAGTTGTTTTTCTTGCCTTTCATAGCAAGTGTTTTAATTCATGGAGGCCTCAGAAAGACGTCTTAGTCTTAACACAGACTCCAGAGACCACAGATGTTTACTCATCCAGGGAGCCGGGGGGGGGGGGGGGGGGGGCGCGGACGGTGCAGAGCGCACCACATCTTGTGCCGAGATCAGCCCCACTCGGCAAGGCAGACACCCAACCGTCTCTCGACTTGTCAAGACCAGCCTCCCACTGAGCTACATTCTGAGTTGGGATGGCCAACCGCGTCCCCCATTAGCATTTAATCTCTGGCATTTCATCTTGCTCTGCGCCCCCTCCCTTATCTGGCTCCGTGTCCCCCTTCCTTGCGTTCTCAGCGCAGGGAGGGAAAGTCACGGAGCTCAGCAAGATCGAAGCTCTGACTCTGCCCAGCGGCAACAAGGGAAAGAGGGAGTCAGCCGCAGAGGTGAGGTCTTCCCGCTCCTGTTTGCTCGGCAGCAGCACTACCCACGGCCCCTCCCAAGCTCTGGGGGGGCACAGAGCCTCCGCCACACATGGGCCCAGGGACCAGAAGCCAGGTGACTGAGGCGGAACCCCAGGCGGGACCCCTCGGACTTCCTGCCCTAAATGTTCCCGCACTCCTTCTCCCAGCTTGCAGGGCGCCACTTGTCTGATTCAAACTTAGTAGAAAAAGAAACGGATGCCCCCAAATACTCCTTTTTTTTTTTAAGTATAGTTGACCCATGTCAGTTACACTAGTTTTAGGTGAACGATATAGTGATTCACCATTTTTATACCTTGCACTCTGATCACCCCAATAACTCCAGTAATCAATCATCTGTCATCATGCAAACTTATCACAATATTGACTACATTCCCCTCCCCTTTTCACCCATTCCCCCATCCCTAAACAGAAACCTAACACTTTATTCTTGAAAAGGAGGAATTTCTTATTAAAATCCCTAGAATGCCACCCGTGCCCCTGCCACCGTGAGAGGGCACCCTATGCCACCCGGGCCCCCCTCCCCCGCCCCGAGAAAGCCGAGTTGGGAGGTTACCTCGGTGCAGCACGATGTGGTCGATCATGTTGCGCTTGTATTTGGTGTGGTAGAGGCAGAGGGGACAGCGAAGGTCTTTGGGGCCCTCCTCCGGAACAGCCGAGTGCCCGGCTTCCACGTGCATAGTAAAAGCAGATCTGGGGGAGAGGTGGGAGACAGACAGGCGATCAGTGTGACAAGGGACCGGTTCACTCGCGTGCATACCCCCTGCTGGCGACCTGGCTACAGGCTTCCCGTGTGACGCCCTTGCTTGAGGGCCCAAACCACTGCCGTAGGTCATGGTTGCTCACCAGGAGCTCCTGGGTCACCCACCCAACAACGGACCATGGTCGCACAGTGGTCTCCTTTCTGGGAATTTTGCCACTTGGCTGGATTCAAACTTAGTATAAAAGGAAATGGATTCCCCTAAATACTTTTTTTTTTAAGTATAGTTGATAGATATTAGTTATACTAGTTTTAGGTGTACCATATAATGATTCAACATTTTTTATACCTTATATGACCACCCCACTAATTCTAGAAATTATCTGTCACTACGCAAACTTACAGTATTGTTGACTAGATTCCCCTCCCCATTTCACCCATCCCCCCACCCCTCTGGTTTCCATTTCTATGAGTCTACCTAACACTTTATTCTGGAAAGTGAGAAATTATTGAAATCATTACAACAAAATCCCTACGAGAACGCATTTCTCATCATGCTTGGAAGGAGAGGGACTACTTTAAAGATGGGTGACTGACCACCTGCCTCATGACTCTTCACAGGTGAGGGGGCGGGCAAGTCGGTGAGGAAGCAAGACCTCACCAATCGGTAAACTACACTCAGAGCCGGAGTTCAGCCTAAAGGCGGGAGAGTACTGCTGCCTCCCCTTCAGCCTTCTCAAAAGTTCACAATTTTTTAAAAACACATTTTTTAATTGATTTCAGAGAGGAAGGGAGAGGGAGATAGAAACATCAATGATAAGAGAGAATCATTGATCGCTGCCTCCTGCAAGCCTCCTACTGGGGATCGAGCCGGCAACCCAGGCATGTGCCCTGACAGGGAATTGAACAGTGACCTCCTGGTTCATAGGTCAATGATCAACCACTGGGAGAAAGTTCACCATTTACAAAGCCTTAATAAGACATTTAATCTCTTAAGAATGGATGAAATCAAGAGCTGAATGGGTGAGGTCCTCTTCTTATTAACCTGAGTGCTTCCCCCTGGGGAAAGGTGCACACCTGTGGGTGGGCCCGTGTCCCCTGGGCCCTGTGGCCTCCTCTCAGTTCTAAGGTCACATGCATATTTCTCTGGAACACACCAAACTGAGTGAAGCGTCAGAGATACAACACTTTCCCATCGAGTCCCGGCAACCACGGGCTGCTGCAGGAGAGACCGGCTGATCCTGCAGGAAGCCCTCTCGCCAGCCTCTCCGTGTGGGGTCTGTAGTCAGGACTGCGGCGGCCTGAGGCTCAGGTCCCGACTGCACCAGGGGCAGATAGTAACAGCCTTACATCTGCAACACGATTACTTTCAGCTTTTTAAATTCATGTTTACTTTGTGCCAGGCACTTCAGATGCATGGGTTCATTTACTCCTAAGAGCTCTGTGCGGTAGGTACTATTATTATCTTTATTTTACAGATAAGGAGCCAGAGACACAGAGAGGCTGAGTGACTTATCCAAAGTCACACAGCCAATAAGGAGCAAAGCTGGGATTCAAACCCAGGCAGTCAAGGCTCCGCATTCTACACTCACCTAAACGGTATCTCCCGGGAGGAGATGACTTCACAGGAGTTTACTTTAAATGACAGGCAGCACCCCATTCTTTGAGCGCATGGGTGCTGCCCCTCACAGGAGCAAAGCTGGCTTTGGATGGTCTTTTTCTAGACTGGAACTCGCTATCTACGGTTGCTCAAGTTTAGGCTTCACAGTGCCGGGGTCTTGATTCTCTGGGGTTTCTAAATAACGTGATCTTGAGAAATAAGACTTTTCTACCAGGGTAGCAGGGAAGTCACTATTGCCCAATGTTCTCCCCTTGGACTTGGACTGTCAAGAACATTTTCCCCCCAAAGACAAATAAAAGGAAAGGGCAACAGTGACAGAGCGCCAAGGGGAAGCACTCACCGCTTCATGCCCGGGGCTGGGGAAACCCTTTGCGGGATCTCACGCCTGGGGGCACCTACTTGCTTTGACTTTTTCCCCCTAGATGTTTCCTGCCTGGTTTATCTCCTCAGTCTTCGTCCACAGGACTCTGAGAAGTTGTAGGAATATGCAGGCGCAGGCTCAAGGCCCGGCTTTCTCTCCAACGCTGTGGAAAGGGACCGTACATCACGGGGCAGAGCCCTGTGCTCCCCTGCGCCACCTGGACAAAGCCCCGGGGAGAGCGACCTCCCGGGGGTGTCCATGTTGGGATGCTTTGACTTTTAAACTTGTTTGTTCTGACACAGCTCTTCATCCCTCCCACACGCCCCCAAGCAGTCTCCTGGAACCAGCCTTTTGTGGTACAGACTGGGCCCAACCCCTGCATCACCCGCCCGGCTGGGCCTCCCTTGAGCTCCAGGTCGGAGGGTGTAAGGAGCGTGTGGTGAGGGGCGGAGCGGGTGCAGCCACCTCGTGCTGCGAGGCTGTCCTTCACGCCACTTACTTAAAGCCTGTGTAAAAAGAGCAGTCCTTGCACTTGAAGAGCTTCTTCCCGCCGTGCTTGTCCCTGTAGTGGCGCCTGATGCTCTGGATGTAGCCGGAGGAGAATTCACAGAATTCGCAGTGGAGCACCGCCTCGGCTTTCTGCTCCCCGGCAGCTCCGGAGAGCGGCCCGGGGCTGACGCGGCTGTTGTTCCTCGCCAGCGCGGCCGACTGGTAGTGGTTCAGCTGCTGCTGCACATCCGGAGGCTCCGAGTAGGACGAGTCTGTGGACAGACGGGGGACATGACGTGGACACAGAGAACACAGTGGGGTGACGCTCGGAAACCCCCGACGTTTGTTCCGCGGACGCTTTTTAAGGGGCTGGGGAATGAGCCCCTCTTTCATCTTCATTTACACTTGACAGCACTTCTCTGGGGGAAGGCGGGGAGGGAGGACTTGTCACTCCCTTTCCTCTGACTTGGAGGGCCCATGCCATTTGGAAAGAAAACTCTGAGGTTCAAGGTTTCAAAGTGAAGGAAGAAAGGGAACTGTGTTCCGTAAAGGAGACTGCAGCGTGGCCACTGGCTGCTGCAGGACACCCGTCCTTGTGGGTGAGATCAATAAACCGCACAATGAGCCCAGGACCCCAGGGGAGAGAGGCAGGTAAGGAGGTGATGCAATACCCCTCCCCCCCACCCCCGTCTGCAGCCCAGAATTAGTCAAACCTCCCCCTCCCCTCAAAAAAGCCTTTAACAGAAGTGCTCTGGCTCACGGCACTCGCCAATATAAAAATGTTTTATGCCTTCACAGTCGAGCGATTTAAATTTTAGAATATCAAAATCCAACAGTGCTCCCCTGGAATGGATGGTTAGAGCTGAGTCAGCATGGAAATGGAGATTTACTCACAAATCCCATTAAAATGAAATGCAAACAAGTTTCCCTGAAAGGTGTTTTGAAGTTTGCCATTCGGACGAGAATGTCGGAAACGACAGGCACCAATCTCAACCCCAGGAGCCTCCAAGGCCCGGGGCGGAGAGATGCGGCCTCGATGGCTGGGAAAATTGGAGTTTCTTCTTTAAATTAAAAAAAAAAAGTAAGTAAATAATTTCTTTGAAAAAAAAAATAAAAGAAAGGCCTTGAACCTTTTCCCAACACGCAGCGTTGCCTGCTGAGGCTGGGAGTTCGACAGCACGGTCCCGGGTCACCTACAGCGGCCGCGGGAGGTGCGACCACGCAGGTGAACTTCAGTGGAACTTTCCTCAAAAAGTACACACACGGCTCTTCTCTGACAGCCTTTCAGACAGCAGGGAGAGGGGACAAGGCTGCACCCGCCTCCTCCCCACTTGACGGACACTTCATGTTGCAGGGCACGACCCCCCGCAAACGAGGAGGGTTCGGCAAAACCCGTATGTGACGAAAGTACTCGGTCCATCCCGCTGGCCTCTTCGTTTCCAAAAACAAAACCAGAGCAGCCTCGCTTACCGGGAAGGCATCTCCTGCCTTCAACATACGAAGCCACCCTCTTCCGTTCTCGCCTTCCTCCCCACCCCCAATCTGTGCTCCTCACGACTGAGAAAAACCCCTTTGGAAATTGTACACGAACCTGCCAGATGCACAGAAATGAAACAAAAGAAAACGTGAACAATACCGGAGCCTCCCTGGGTTCCTTACCAGGTGTGAAGGGAAGACAAAGGGAGAGGGAAGGCAGGACACACTGAATTCATTCTGCCCCATTCTTTCATCTCCCTCTTCTCTAGTCCTCGACCTCGCTGATGAACCCACTCAGGATCACAACAATGCGATTGTCAACTTCTCATTCTTCCTTTCAATAGCAGGCTTGTTTACCATTTCAGGGATTGTTCGAGAGGTTTCCTACTTAAACCCTCAAGACCAGTTTCTGCTTAAAACATACAATGAAGCACACAACGCACCCGCCTCTCTCGTTAACGCGGCGTGAGCTGCGGGCTCTGTACGGTCCCACCAGCACCCCAAGCCCGTCCCTCCCAGCAGTGCTTGTCCTGCTTCCCTCTTAGCTCCTCAGAAGGGAAGTTCTGTGACCCACTATCCATACACACGTCTCCTTAGACTTAGCCCGTATTCTCTCTAGGGTCCATTGCATATTCCATTGATCTCAAAGCAATGAATTTGACACCTGAACTCCAGTGTTTACATGTGATATGAAACCAGAAGAAACAGACATGCACGGAGTGGTGGGGAAAGCACCCCAAGAAAGGGAGGCTCCTCACCCTCCCCAAGTGGCAAGGCAACAGGTCGGACCAAGACAGACGTGTGTATCCATGTTATAAACTCCCCTTTTCCTGGGTAAGTCACATGTACAGGTTTATTTACAGCAACAAGCAACTCCCACCCCTTAATGATACAATTGTAACAACGCCCAGGTTATAGCTTTTGGGGTCTTTTTAGCGCTTTACTTTCCTCTCTGGTGCCAACACACACACACACACACAGTCTCTCTCTCTCTCTCTCTGTCCCCCCCCCCCCCCCCCCCCCCCCCCCCCCGTT